TGAAGCAGTCGTTCACTGCCACTGTGATACACGACTGTCGTACGACTGTTTTACTCGCAGTGGCGTACACAATCAAATGGGCGCTCGCCCACTATACGATTTTTATCGTATGTCGTGCGTTCTCCCCAGTAGTCTTTATATATACTTTTTGCAATTAACTCATACTTAGCCATTATTATAGTTGTTATATCACTTTGCGTATTTCTTATCGTGAATAAATATTTTTTACTATTCATTCATACTTTTTTATTATAATGTTTGATATATCACTTGGTTTTATTTTTCAACCACTATTTTGCGTAATTTTGATCTTCCTATTTATTTTTTCGAGTTTGACTATTATTTATTATTGTATAATCTTATTTATGAATTATATTGAGTAAAAAAGTTTCACTAAAACCTATAAATATAATTTTTTGTAGATTATATTGATAAAATTAAATCATTAATATTTAAAAACTAATCCAAAAAATTTTAACATACATACTTTTTACCAGACTATCCCATTACCATATGATAGTTATGGTAAATTTAAAAACTTGTAAAATGCATGGACTAATATAATTTGAAAATTTCTTTAAATACATTAACTTAAAAAATAATTTGCACATAAAAATAAATGTTTCTTTAATGCTGTAGGCCTACATTGGCCACTATCGCTTAATCTACGCCACAGAAGCCACATTGCAACAACACGTAACGGAATCATTGTTTTACTATTTGATACAAAAAACCACTGTTTTAAGATATTGCGCAACACACCCACACCTCACTCTTCCAGGGCTACCGAGCAACTGGCCATTTATCCGACAAAGTGTCGTAAAGTGGGCGAGGACCACACATACGATAAGAATATCATACGACACAGTGTCGTACGACCGAAATCGTATAGTGGGCGAGAGGCCTAACAGCACAGCAACCACAGCTGGGGGTTTCTCCAGGAGTTGTAGTATCTTGACACATCCAATACAAGGCATCGATGATGTTCTGCATACCCCGCACATGCTGCACCTTAAGTTATAAGGCAGGAAACTTTGACAACCCAACGCCCTATCTTTCCCATTTGACAAGTGTGTGCCAGCAGCCAAGAAAGAGCCTCGTGGTCAGTCTTAAGCAGAAACTCAGCATGTTCAGAGAAACATGGATACTTGTCAATGCAAAAAACAATCTCTAGAGACTCGAGCTCATAGACGGACGAGGCTTTCCTTTCTGGAGGCATAAGGATGTGCAATGGGAGCTGCACATTTTTTGCGGTGATAACCAGCAGGTCAAGCTCCGCAATAGTGTCAGGCTTGGCACACAATACCAAGTGGGAGCGCTTTTCAGAGGCTATACCATCCAGAATGACCTGGGGTTCAGACGTGACACACGACTGGTGCTGCGAATCTCCGTGCAATAGGCAGCTGGGCTTTCACGAAACCCTTGCGATATATATAAAAGTCTTCATTTTGAGGTGCTCACGCATCCTCCCAGGAACAAAGCACATCCTTTGAAGTGCTTGTCTGAGAAATTCCGCAACATTTCCCTTCTTGGACAGAGCCAAATTCAACAAATCAAAAAGTGGAGAATGTGGCAATATTGGATCAACAAACTGAGAAGCAGTGATTCATCAATAGAATTTCCCTAATTCGAAATAAAACCTGCAAAATAAGTTTGTTGTCTACCAATACATCAACACAAAACAGAACCTGCCTCGGTCAACACGCTCTATTCGTCCGGAGTTGTTGAGTCTTCGAGCAAAAGGCCGCTACAATTACGTCCAGGATACCAGAATTTTGTTTGAGCCAGGCAAGGTCGTTTTCCATGAGTGAGCCTTCGTTTGCCAACAGGTCAGAGGGTCTCCCGAAGTTGTTAATGTTATACTGTTCTCCGTGTAATTTCGTGGTGTATGGAATAGGTCCGTATCCTTCCTGGACTTGTCGTAAGAGGCGACTAAAAGGGTGGACTGACGTTGTCACTGGGAGTCCCTGGAAGTTGATGTGTGCCCTGCACCTCCGATGGGTATTCTCAGGGGGTCGTGAGGAGATAAACACTTCGGTTCATGATCAGGAAGTGTGGCATGGATGCAGAGGGCGGGCTCTGCATTGCAACAGGCGACCCCCGGTATGTAAGGTATCCGGTGCTAGGCAAACGGAGGTAGGGCCCCGGGGAACTAGGGTAGGGGATTGTCCCCGAGAGTATACACGTTTCTGACTGTTTCCGGGCCGTCACTTGCCGCAAGATTTGCTGGTAAACACATATCGTACATGGCTTGTAAAAGCTTAACCCCCCCAAACACATTATTTAGTAGCAGCTCGAATGAGCAAAAAACAAGGTCGGAAAACAGAACGCCCCATTAAGTCATATTCCTGGGTCTAGGTGATATAGTTTTTTTAAGGCTGCATTCGACCTTGAAAATGCTAAATATAGGATGTGAGGATTCTTTAAGGTAATCTTGAGATGTCCAGGATGGCTGACTCCCTTTTAGATTAGCTTGCCTAAGAGATTGGCGTAGACACGCTTCTGATCAGCGAGCAGTACCGTGACAGGGACCCACACTTCTGGTTCCTCGACTCTAGTACCGACGCACCAGTGTAAGATCACGGATGCAGTCCCATTCACACATTCGGGAATTCCGTCTGAAGATTGACCGCTTAGAGGATGGTGAGCGTGGCACCGTTGGACATTTCGTTGTGGCTGGTGATTTTAATGTGAGGGTTTTTAGAGTGGGGAATAGCCACTACAAACATCCGGTGGAAATACATCCTGGACCTTGCCACCAGGGCCAGTTTTGTCGTCTTAAACGAGGGCAACAAGCCTACTTTCCGTGGCCCTGGTATGAGAGATACGATCCCGGATATCTCTTCCTCGTCGGAATCACTACTAGTTCGAATCTCTAACAGGAGAGTCATTAAAGAAATCACGGCAAGTGATCATCAGTACATCGTTTTAAAATACTGAATGAACACCGTAATAAAGTGGTCCAAATCCACCAAATCACGATCTGGACCACACCGATGGAATACGGACAAACTGGACGTTGAGAAGTTCACTGATGTAATCCCACAGGGGGCGTAAGTACATCCTGCTGTACCTGTTGACGCCAAGGTATTGGTAACGTCCATGATGGAACTAACTGTCTCGGCTTGTGACCAGGCCATGCCACTCAAGAAACACCGTCGCGATAAGTAAGCTGTGTACAGGTGGACATAAGATATATTAAACCTTTGAAAAGCCCGTTTGAAAGCCAGACGTGCTGCTATGAGATCCAGAAGATTCGCGGATCGCGAGGCCACGTCCACGGACTATAGGGCTTGTAGGAAAGCTCTCCGTCGGGCCATCAACAAGAGCAAGGTTAGCTGTTGGAGGAAGCTACAGGAATATGTCGACTCTTATTTTCTGAGACTGGTCTACAAGGTTGTAACACAGAAACTCGGCTCCCGATCACCACCTTCCATCATGGAGGGCACCGCCATGGACAGATTCGTCACCACCCTGTTTCCGCCTCATCCGCATCGTCCTTTTTTACTAAGGTGGGGCAGGGTAAATTAAACTCTTTAGAATCGAAGAGTTGGAATCATCTGTTCTCCCCCTGAAAAATCAAAAACAGCTGGTCCTGATGGTATTCCCAGTGAGGCTCTAGAAGGTATTTTCAGTTAACCCCCTCTTACTGCTAAGAATTTACAACACAAGCCTGTACGAAGGGGTTACCCCACCCCTTTTGGAAAAGGATAGGCTTGTTCTAATGAGCAAGGGAATACACCACGGACGGATATATCGTCCGTTTACGTATATTATTGTTTACTTTTATTTTCAAAGAGGTGCGGCAAATGAGCACTGATGCTATTTCTAGCTGTTTGATAGGTGTTTGAAAGACGATGCATATGAGATTAAAAAACATGTCCGTTGGTCGGCCAATAGGTTGTCGCCGATCTTTAAAGAGGTCGTCTAATAAGAAGATTAGTAATTGAGTAAGATTAGCTAATACAAATCTGTAACAGGACGTCGTGAAAGAGAGTGACAAGTTCAGGTACAACCGTAATCTATATAAATAACCAAAAGTACCCATGAACTTTTGAGAAAACTACAAGTCACACCCCCATAAACCATATACTTAAAATGTTCATGCGCAAAACTATCCATTATTTCTTAAATTTTCCTATAAGGTCGTAATTGCTTTTCAAAGGGAACTTTACATATACCTAATGTTAAAAATACCTCAGCTGTATTCATTTGTATGTTATATGTTATTCTTTAAATTTATTACCTTATTAAAATCAGGTGAGATTATTTATTTGTATTACTGTATTCTGTTTTGTTTATTTCAGCTTAACCTAATAGTTTGATTAATACTTATGAAGTCAAACGGGGTGAAACCCGTGGGTAACAACTAGTATATATAATATTCGGCCAAAGTTTCTGTGCGCGCGACCAGATCTGGTCGGGTCCATGCGAGGGGGTTGGCGGGGGTACTTTTGTTAAAACATTTGTGTCTTACTACTCACTCACCCCTAACCCCAGCACTGTCAATAACCGGTACCTGTATGTTTTAATTCGGATAGAAGTTTTGGCCGAACTGTACCCACGTCGGCCACCTCAGGACGTAATGTATGAAGGTCCCACTGCTTTTAACATTCCTTCTGGTGAGAATTTCTTGAACTTTGGCCCTTTAAATGAAATATAAAGTCGATATTAATTAAATTAATTTAATCAAAAAAAGGTTATGGTACCTGCAGACTGCCTTATGGGTTTTGTTAATCCAGTAGGATTACGCGCGTTTCGGCAAATATATTGCCACCATCAGATCCAGAACATGAAACTTAAAATCTTAAATTCTTTGACACACGTGGCTTCCGAATTGTACACCCGTGAATTCACTCTTGTAAGTAAATGAAATATTTACACCGTTTGTAGAATATCGTAGAAGCCGTGTTCGAGGTCTTAGTGCAAGCAAGCAAGCATACAAGCAAACATTGCTCATATAAGAGTATATGATAAATTAACAAAGTAATTGTTTTTAGTGGGTAGAAGTGAAATACATGCTGACGTCTGAACTTCGTGCCCAGTCTTCTATTATAGTTGAAGGGGTGGTCATTGATGACCCTAAATGGTAAGATACATTTTTTTTAAGCAGTATATTTATACATAAGTTCTATTTTCTAATTATAAGTGTACTAATATAAAAAGAATGATTAAAACGTTAGTCAAAAGAGAGAACAAGACTCAACCTTTTTATTATAAACTCTGAATCATGTCAAACAATAACAAAACAACATATGAATGGCTCCCTGGAAAAACGTTCCATACGCCGTTTTGTAAACTTTACAGAAACTAAAAAAAAACGTTAAGAGAGTAATTTTTTAAAGATTATTTTTGGATTTTTTTAGATTCTACTTGATAGGTCTAGTTAAAACAATGTTATAAGGATTTTTTTCAAGTAAAAAACCAAATGATTAAGCTTTTGACATTTTAAGTGTAAATGTAGTGGAAAAACGTTGCTTGGGCATAGTTGATATGCACAAGCAACGTTTTTCTACTGAAAAATAGCACTCTACAATACTGGCGTTTGGAACGTTTTGTAAAGAATAAAGTTTTAATAGCTGCAATAATTAATTATTTTTATTGCTTAGGTACAGAAATTCTCAAACTGCAAGTGAAAGATTTTTTTTACAATATTGAATCTCATTTTACTAAAAGGATACACAATATCTTGTTAATGAAACGTACATAACCCCTAGCCTTTGTATTAAGCTGATATTGTTTGTGTGCTTGGGACTTTTAATTTTACAATATTGCACTTCATTTAACTAAAAGAACACAAAAAATCTTTTAAAAAACGTATTATCTTGGTACAGTATAGTCAACAGTATAGTCAGTCACAAAAGGTATAGTCTTGCAGCCGTTGTGTGTGCAGGATCATGACAAATCCTTAAATAAATCAGCCCATTCACTTAACAAAAATAACATATAAGACAGTAAACAGTAAATTGACAACAGCTAGGTTGTAATTTACTAATAATAAGTATTTAGAAATAGAAATTAAATTCCTATGTCCTGGTAAATATTCTGGATCACAAACGTTATAGTGTTCAACTGTAGTGTGCATTGTAGCACAAGTAACGTTTTTCCAATTACTTCAGAAATAGGTACTTTTTCAGGCACTACTTCATTTTTGTAGTTTTTTTACTCTTTCCCGCTATTTCTATGACTCTTCTTAACTTTCTTCTTCCAAAAATCTATGTTTAACTGTAGTTTTTTGCCTCTATTTAATTGTTTAATAAGGCCTGACACCGGTGAAGACATGGTCTTGTCTGCCCAATACGCTGCACAAGGAACGTTCTTCCAGGGAGTGCCAAATTCCCCTACCCATAATTCAATGTTTTAGTTATAAAATCGGCCAAAAGATGTCACCACTTGATAGACAAAAGCACAAGGAACGTTTTTCTATTAAAAACCTGCAAACTCTAATTCTGGCGCTTGAAACGTTTTTCCGGGGAGCCATCCATATGTGTTTAACATCATATGGCATCCTCCCTTTTGGACGATTATTTTACTGGGATGATCTGGGATCTACTTCGTCGCAGTGTTGGTCCGTTGACCTGCTCAATTATGTAGGATCTTGGCTCTTGAAGTTTAGCCTTCACCACACATTTTCTCCTCAGATCCGGTACCCAAACTGTACAGCCGGGATGAAGATCGGGAAGGTCCCTTGCCCCGTGGTGCTTGTCATATCTGGCCTTCATCCCCTCCCTTATGAGTTTTTCCTTAGCTTGGATCTTTGCATTATCTGGCAAAGAGGGACGTAGGTTTTCCGTCAAGATAGGGACGGTGCTTCTGATCTTCCTTCCCATGAGTAATTCCGCGGGGGAATATCCATTTTCCAAAGGAGCTGTTCGGTAGGAAAGTAGACCAATTTTAACATATTTACATTTTTACAGAATTTTTTTAGCAGTGCTCACTGCAGACTCAGCGAGACCATTTCACTGAGGCAGTTTAGGGCTGCTTATGATAATTTCAAACCCCATCTCTTCAGAGAACTGCTTTATTACCTCGCTACAAAGTTGGCTACCGTTGTCACAACGTAGGCGGTGAGGTACACCAAACCGTGAGAACATTTTTTTTTCAAATAAGTAACTATTACGTTTGAATTGATAGAGTTTAAAGGTCCAATAATTTCTAGATAACGGGAAAAGTAGTCTTGGACCACCGAATAATTTTGTCTTAATAAACACATAAATCTGCACCAACTACCGACCATGGTAACGTCGGGAATCTGTAGGGATGAGTGGCATTGTTGGAATCCTCCTATTCTGCAGGCAAATGAAGCAGTCAGTTACCTTCCTCTCGATATCTTTGTTGATTCCTGGCCACCACACTGTTTCCTTTACTAAGCCACGGCATTTAGAAATACCGAGGTGGCCATTGTGGAGTTTGTCTAAAATCAATTCTCGCAGGCTGCGAGGAATAACAATCCTGCCCCCAATCAATAGCAATCCCTCATAACCAGCCAGGCTATCTTTGTATTGTGCATAAGCAAAAGCACTGCATCGTTGATCAATCTGGTCCCAACCAGAGTGTATGTATTTCTTCAACAGTTGGAATGTTTAATCTTTTGTGGAATAAGTTTGTATGAGCTCGTGTAATTTTTCTCGGACAGGAAGATTTGCAAATTGTTCTTTGACATCATCTTCTAGTACATTGGAAGAAGAATCGTTGATTTCCCCAATAGTAAGGTTCGTTTGTCGGGACAACGTATCTGGCACAGTCAACAGTTTGCCTGGTACGTAAGTAATCTCGTAATAAAATATCTGCAAACGAAGACGTAAACGTAAAAGTGTAGGGGAAAGCTCTTGATTAGGTTTATTCCCCAGTAGTGTCGTCAAAGGTTTGTGGCCTGTCTGAAGAAGAAAGCGTTTCCCAACCAAATAAATTTTCAGTCTTTCACACTCCCAGGTACAAGCCAAAGCTTCTCGTTCAATTTGAGCATACCTTTTCTCTGTTTCTGTCATCGTCCTAGGCTGTTCTTTCCTACATTACAGGAAAGAACTTTCCATAATGATCTTGCTCAAGCAAACCACCCAAGGCAAATGTGATAGCATCAGCAGAAACTCTAGTTGAAGCATTGACATCGAATGGTTTTAAAACCGGAGAGCTGGAAATGACTTGTTTAGTCTTCTGAAACGCTTGCTCCTGAGCAGGTGACCATGTGAAGTCGACATCTTTTTTAAGTAACTCTCTAAGAGGTTGACCAATCGAAGCTGCGTTCGGAACGAACTTCGTGAGATAAGTTAACATTCCAAGGTATCTCTGTAGATCAGTCTTATTCGATGGTGGTTGAAAAACCACAACTGATCTCATTTTTTATCATATGTTTTTAACATCATATGACAATAAGTACTTAATTACTTGATCATTTTGCCCGAAGGTGAAATGTCATTATGGATGGACTTGATTGTCTGAGCTGCTGAGTAGTTATTTAAATCTGAATGTCGCTTATTTTATTCTTTATATATACATGGCGTTTATAAAACAATCATCAGATTTTAAAACATTTTATTGACGTTAATGTTAAAAAAATACGGATATATAATTTATCAACATTAAGGAGAACTCTTAAATTTATCATAGATACCCCTACAAGTGCTCAATGTGCCGTCCATTAGGTGTGGAGCAAGTTTCCAATCCATGCTGTAAATTGTCTAATACACCAGCTAGCATCGCAAGGTTGATTGATTCTACGTCATTGCGAATTCGTCCACGGAGCTCTTGAAGTGTTTTAATGCATTGGCGGTATATAAACATAGTTTGTCTTTTACACAGCCCCATGAAAAAAATTCACACACCCAACGATCTGGGGATCTAGGGAGCCATTTGAGAAGGGTAAAGTCATTGTCGTTACATTTGCCAATCCACCTCAGTTTTTAAGTCCACGACCATTGCTTTTACGTTTTAATACACTTCCAGAGTTCTTAATCTGGCGATACCTGTGTTGTTATTCATATGTGTTTGAAAACATATGGTGTTAGAATATTATTTGTTTAGTTTTTGTTGATAAACATTCTGAATCTGGTTTATTGTAAAAAGCTACCTAATAAAGTATTTGTCTTATTAAAACTATATTTTAATTTAACTTGCGATAACACTACATGGTGGCAGCGGGCTTCTTATTGTTTTAGCAATATACAGTACATGAAGATGAAAGGTTTTAGTGTTCCTACCCCAGAACATTTTGATTTTAAAGGAGAAAACTGGTCTAAATGGAAAACCCGTTTCTTGCGCTTTCATGCGGTATCTGGGCTCACCAATGAAGACGAACCATATCAGGTAAACACCTTACTATACAGGGTGTCCCGGAACTCTCTACCAATATTTTAGGGCATTGTTCCTGGGTAAGAAACATATCTAAATATCATATTTAAATTGTCCGGAAGTCCTTAGTTACTCAGATAGCCGCCATTTTGTTTTTTTCACTTATTAATTTTTTTCTGAAAATTGGTTAAACATACGAAGTTGAAACTTTGCACAAACATTTATGACAACTAGACAAAGCTACAAAAAAATTATGACGATTTTTCAAATTCATAAAACAAAATGGCGGCTGTTTAAAATTTTGTTTCTTAAATTACTCGAAAACCGTTGATTTTACAAAAATTTTACAAGAATAACTTTTTTAAGACAATTGTATTACAAATCGATCAACACCTTAATCTTTAAGATCGGACGACAATTAACTGAGATATGGCAGTTTTAGTGATACGTGACCGCTTTCAGCATGCGCTGCAACTAATATCCGGCGGTCACTTATCACTAAAACTACCATATCTCAGTTAATTGTCGTCCGATCTTAAAGATTAAGGTGTTGATCGATTTGTAATACAATTGCCTTAAAAAAGTTATTCTTGTAAAATCAACGGTTTTCGAGTAATTTAAGAAACAAAATTTTAAACAGCCGCCATTTTGTTTTATGAATTTGAAAAATCGACATAATTTTTTTGTAGCTATGTCTAGTTGTCATAAATGTTTGTGCAAAGTTTCAACTTCGTATGTTTAACCAATTTTCAGAAAAAAATTAATAAGTGAAAAAAACAAAATGGCGGCTATCTGAGTAAC